AAATTTGAAGATATCGATCTATTTCTAATTTTATTATATTTCTCAGTCTTTTCTACCCCTATTTCATATATAATTTTTTAAGATTTGGTTGATTAGACCCAGCTTTATACGCGATCAAAGATCCATAACTTTGATCGCATATAAAGCTAAGTCTAATCAACCGAATTTAAAAGAATTATATGTGAATTATATTTTTCAGTCTTTTCTACCCCTATTTCATATATAATTTTTATGTATGCTAAGTAGCGGAGCACCTCGCGAGGTAGTGGAGTGTTTCGCGAGGTAAGGGAAGCACCTCGCGAGGCAAAGAAGCGCCTCGCGAGGTAGAGGAGCGCCAAAGAGCCATTTTGATCGCATATAAAGCTAAGTCTAATCAACCGAATTTAAAAGAATTATATATGAAATAGGGGTAGAAAAGACTGAAAAATATAATAAAATTAGAAATAAATAGATATCTCCAAATTTGCGGAAGTTAATATGTTCAGAGTGTTCTAAAATGTCGAAGTGTTGCATTAAATCGCATGTCCGTACGTATATATGTGTATGTGCAGATTTGATGTCCGTGTTTACTCTGACTTCCGCAAATTTGAAGATATCGATCTATTTCTAATTTTATTATATTTCTCAGTTTTTTCTACCCCTATTTCATATATAATTCTTTTAAATTCGGTTGATTAGACTTAGTTTTATATGCGATCAAAGATCCATAACTTTGATCGCATATAAAGCTAAGTCTAATTAACCGAATTTAAAAAAATTATATGTGAATTATATTTTTCAGTCTTTTCTGCCCCTATTTCATATATAATTCTTATATGCTAAGTAGCGGAGCACCTCGCGAGGTAGAGGAGTGTTTTGCGAGGCAAGGAAAGCACCTCGCGAAACAAAAAAACGCCTCGCGAGGTAAAGGAGCGCCAAAGAGACATAACTTTGATCGCATATAAAGCTAAGTCTAATCAACCGAATTTAAAAGAGTCATATATGAAATAGGGGTAGAAAATACTGAAAAATATAATAAAATTAAAAATAGATAGATATCTCCAAATTTGCGGAAGTTAATTTGTTCAGAGTATTCTAAAATGTCGAAATATTGCATTAAAATCGCATGTCCATACGTATATATGTGTATGTGCAGATTTGATGTCCGTGTTTGCTCTAACTTCGCATATAAAGCTAAGTCTAATCAACCGAATTTAAAAGAATTATATGTGTATTATATTTTTCGGTCCTTTCTACCCCTATTTCATATATAATTCTTTTAAATTCGGTTGATTAGACTTAGCTTTATATGCGATCAAAATGGCTCTTTGGCGCTCCTCTACCTCGCGAGGTGCTCCGCTACTTAGCATATATAAGAATTATATATGAAATAGGGGTAGAAAGGACCGAAAAATATAATACACATATAATTCTTTTAAATTCGGTTGATTAGACTTAGCTTTATATGCGATCAAAATTATGGCTCTTTGGCGCTCCTCTACCTCGCGAGGCGCTCCTTTGCCTCGCGAGGTGCTTCCCTTGCCTCGCGAAACACTCCTCTACCTCGCGAGGTGCTCCGCTACTTAGCATACATAAAAATTATATATGAAATAGGGGTAGAAAAGACTGAAAAATATAATTCATATATAATTCTTTTAAATTCGGTTGATTAGACTTAGCTTTATATGCGATCAAAATTATGGCTCTTTGGCGCTCCTGTACCTCGCAAAACACTCTTCTACCTCGCGAGGTGCTCCGCTACTTAGCATACATAAAAATTATATATGAAATAGGGGTAGAAAAGACTGAAAAATATAATTCATATATAATTCTTTTAAATTCGGTTGATTAGACTTAGCTTTATATGCGATCAAAATTATGGCTCTTTGGCGCTCCTCTACCTCGCAAAACACTCCTCTACCTCGCGAGGTGCTCCGCTACTTAGCATATATAAGAATTATATATGAAATAGTGGTAGAAAAGACTGAAAAATATAATTCATATATAATTCTTTTAAATTCGGTTGATTAGACTTAGTTTTATATGCGATCAAAGTTATGGATCTTTGATCGCGTATAAAGCTGGGTCTAATCAACCAAATCTTAAAAAATTATATATGAAATAGGGGTAGAAAAGACTGAGAAATATAATAAAATTAGAAATAGATCGATATCTTCAAATTTGCGGAAGTTGGAGCAAGCTCGGACATCAAATCTGCACATAAGTACATATCTACGTACGGACATGCGATTTTAATGCAATGTTTCGACATTTTAGAATACTCTGAACATATTAACTTAAGCAAATTTGGAGATATCTATCTATTTCTAATTTTATTATATTTTTCAGTTTTTTCTACTCCTATTTCATATATAATTTTTTTAAATTCGGTTGATTAGACTCAGCTTTATATGCGATCAAAATTATGGATTTTTGGCGCTCCTTTACCTCGTGAGACGCTCCTTTGCCTCGCGAGATGCTTCTCTTGCCTCGCGAAACACTCCTCTACCTCGCGAGACGCTCCTTTGCCTCGCGAGGGAAGCTTCCCTTGCCTCGCGAAACCCTCCTCTTATCTCGCGAGACGCTCCTTTGCCTCGCGAGATGCTTCC